ACGGAGTACTAGTAGTCCAGAAATGCTAGTACTCCAATACTTCTCGCGCCTACAAACCAGATACGTTTTGTTACTGTTTCCCACCCTCACTTAAGAAACAGAACTGTTAACTAAAACCCAACAGTGAATGGCAGTAATGTGGAATCCTACTTAAGCATCAGAATTGTTTCTAAATAAATGAAATTTAAAGAATCTTGTCCAACGGTGGAATTCGAATTGCGGACTTTTGAATTCGCAAGTCCACACTCTAACCACTAAGCCACCCACCCCCTCTATTTATGTAGTTTAATAAAAAAATTATGTTATTTATCACACATATTCATATATTTAGGTATAAATTAATGTTACATATTGCACTGCTTTTAAAATTATATGTATACGTCGTAGTCTTATAGTGAAATTCGTTATTTCATGAAGATTCTAGTCACATCATGAAGCGTCGGCATATTGCGTAAAATGATAAGGCTACACAATCTGCCGAGGCTTTTCGTGAAGAGACCACATTCTTTCGGTGTATAATGTCGTAACACTTTTTTTTCCCTGGGCTCGTCTGACTATGTCTCCGAATAACACTGAAGCCTATTGGCTTATTGTGTTTTACCCCATGTTAGTTCATAGCACCCACTCTGTCACCTTTGTACCTTGTGCAAGTTTATACAGATCCTTATGTGAGTGGCTTCTATACGTTGTTGGATCAACCTGGGGTTGTCCAAAAAGTACCTGTCTTTTGCGATCTAGAGCTTCGCATTCGCACAGTATGTGTTTGGTCGTTTCTGATTTCTTGTGACATAGTCGGCACATGAGTTCCCCATTGTACATGCCAATTTTGTTCAAGTGTCCCTTTACTGAGGCGTGCCCAGTCATGAACCCTGTTATCACTTTTAACTGGTTTCTATTCATAAAGAGTAGTTCTGCAATTCTTTTGGAACATGGTCGGCCTATGAAGGCTTTTCTATGTGCCTGTTTTGAGGTGTTTCCCCAATAGTTGATTTGTTGTTCCCGAATCCAGTCGTTTATGAAAACCCGGACTGTACTTTTTGGTACTCCTGGGTTTGTGTCTGGTTTCGGTGTTTCTTCTGACCCTCGTTTTGCAAGTCGTCAGCCTTTTCGTTGCCTTCGATCCCTTGATGACCTGGCACCCAAAATAGTTATACTCTATTTCGGTCTGCTAGTGTTCTTAGTTCTTCAATGCATTCCCATACCATCCTCGACGTAACTTTAAGTGCCGCTTGGCTGTCTGACATTATTTGAATATGCTGATTTTCTACAGCTCTTTCATTGTTCGTTTTTGCACATTGCAAAATTGCGTATACCTCGGCCTGAAATACCGAGGAATGTATTCCTGTAGTATAGCTATGGTTAGTATCAGGGTTTTTAGAGAATACTCCCGCTCCAGTGCCTTCCGCAATCTTAGACCCGTCTGTATACCAGGTTTGTTCCTGTCGTTGAGCATTGGGCTCCCATATGGTGATCTCCGCTCTTTCCCGTATTACCTCAACCTCAAATGGAGTAATTAAACAGTACCTCTTGGTTATGTGGTCTGATCTCATATCTAGCACGTCTCCTGTCACTAATCTTGAGATACTCATGTGACCTGGCCTAATGACAAGATTTCCCAGTGTATTTCCTAATCTGTAAGCGCCTAATCTGCGTATGTTATTATCGGTCTCACCACCATGTTATAAAACCAATGTAACATGTCTGGTTTGAACCCCCATTTTTGTCCAAAGGATCGCCTTTCCATTATTAACGCTCTTTTTGTGGTTTTTTCTAGATGCTGGTCCTGTCCTATTTTCCCAGGTTTTGGTATGAAAGTCACCCTAATATTTCTCCAAGCTTTTGGTATGTGTCCAAAGGCCAGGCTACTTCTGAGTATGTTACAGAGTCTGCTGTATAAAATATCAGGACCTCTTTGTAACAATATTGGTTAAATCCCGTCCATGCCCGGTGATTTATATGGTTCGAATGAGCTAATTGCCCATTTCAGTTTACCATAGTTCACCACTTGTTTGGCTATCCTCCAATCTTTCCTGTTGGCTCTATCGAAACATAATCTGACTAAATTTAAATATCGGCACTTTGTGAAGTAACGATTTATAGTCGTCAGATTGTGTAACGTGTTAAATTTACCTGGTTTTATTGAAGCTGATAGTAAATTTGTTATTATTTGTAGATATTAAATAGAAAAATAATGAAAATTAGTTGTTTAATGCATACTATAGCCAATATTATACGTCATGTCCGAACAAAACATGAAGCAGTTAGTAAACCATAAACAATTTTTTGAGGTTATGTTATGAACATTGCAAAATATACGTAAACACCAAAGCTAGATAAGAAGGGTTGGGCCCAATAATATTTATTTAAGTATATTGGAAGGGTAAATCCTTATAATATAGTGCCTTTAGAACTTACTAAAAGATTTACTACAAGCTTTAAGACTGGTTTAAATTTGTTTTACATACCTAGCTGACCATTTCGGTTACCGAATATTATTCGTAAGATTTCTAATATGAAATCATTCAATATTTTCAGTTTATTGTATTAGTTCCACATCACATAAGGTAAGGAAACATATTGTATAGTTAAAAATATTTTTTTGGTATAAAAAAAGTTTGTCTGTGTGTCCACTATAACTCCCGAACGGTATGAGATATCGATTTTAAATATAATGAAAATTTTTAGCGATATGAAGTATTTTATGCGATAAAACGTTAGGGTGGTGTGGAAGTATTGATTCGGTTGCAGCATTTTTTTGTATCTCTGTTTAATGCTGACCCACCCTATATAGTCAAATGTTTCGGTAACAAGCTCAGTCATTTAAACACAGTATGTCTTGCCTTTGTGGGAATTTTATGAAACCGCAATATTTTAATTTAGGCAGGTTGTGTTACACACAATTTGACGAAATACTACGGCCTCTTCATGAAAAGCCTTGACAGATTGTGTACCTTCATAATTTTACACAATATATCAACGCTTCCTAAAATATAAAAATACGGATTTCACTATAAGCGTACCACATATAAAGTATTTTCCATTTTAGTAAAATTCATTCTAAATTAAATTAAAATCTATTTGAAATTAAATTTCACAATGAAATTTATATCACGCAAGCGTTGTTTCTTTAGACCTCCCGTGCTACACCCTAATCCGTCTGTAGTCTGGAAGCACTGCAGCCTGCGGCTTATTGTACCACCATTTGAAGGTCCTACTACTTTCCCATTCACACCCTCATTCATTCCACGTCGTCGATGGTTAAACGCTAGTCGGATGAATCCCATGGTGACACGGCCCATGGTGGAACCTCCCAGCGGTCACGCATCCACAACGTGACCGGAGAGATCACGGCTTAACTGTTGCGAATAAGTGGATGCACACTTAGCTCGCGGCTAGCCTCTCCGGCTAATGACGGTCATATAATGCCATCTGTATGTTATTTGGAAAATTACGCTTGTAAAATTGTAATGGCACGAAAGCAGGTTTTATAGTATTTATGCGTGGACATTTTTGTGATTATTTAAACTTTGAATAATATAAAGTAGGTTACGAAAATTTACATTTGTTAGAAGACAAGTATTCTAGAATACTTTGAAAACGTTTTCATTTATATAAGAAATCGGTTGTATTCAGGTATGTAACTTTGAAGATACATTGGGCTATAACAGTTTTCATAAAATATTGGATCCAATTAAGTTTTATGGAATGAAATCAAAGAATAAATATTTGGAAAATTTAACTAGAGCTGTGAATTTGGGGAATAAATCAAATGAGTTCCATATTAAGTAATAGTGGCAAAGAAAATAACGAACGTTTAATCTATAAACACCAGTTTTTGATGAACAAAAAACAAGCTGTTCTAAAAATATATCTTTAGAAACAAGGGAGTATGAAATGAGTAGTGACAGTAGCAGCAGTAAAGAAAAGATAGTGGACAAAACCCAAAACAAAAATAAAACAATAGTTTCAAAGAAATCCAAAAAATACTAATTGACACCAAGAAATCAAAAACAAAGAAAAAAATTAAGTCGGCATCATGCTCCTGAGCAGCCAGATTAGCCTACTTTAGAAAATTTTTGATGCAGATTTATTGAATCATATTGTCGAACAAAGCAATTTGTTTGCTTGTCAAACCGATCATAATAAACCTCTCTTTTTCACTATTGACTTATTAGAACAGAATGTTTTGGCAAACTAAGACTTATGTTTCTAGAATTGTGGACGTTATGTCAAGAAGTAGATGAGAACAAATAAAATCAAAAATACATTTGAATAATAACAGCAAGGCTGCTCTTTAAAATTCGGCCCCTAATAGACAAATTATTCGAAAAATTTAATGAAATTCCTATGATTGAAAAATTATGCGTAGATAAACAGATGATTCCATTCAAGGAAAAACATAGTTTGAAACAATAAATTAAAAAAACAAACAATGGGACTACAAAGCATTTGAGGGGGTCAGTGAAAAATAGGTATAAGTGACTTTTATATCAAAATTAGTCTAACTACATTTCTGAAAAGGTAATGTACCATTTCGTTTAAAGCAAAATTGGTACAAGTGTTAATTGTACTTGATAGCGACATCTTACGTATAGTAGATTTACCTCTAAAGTAAAAACGCAGTTTCCTGAGTGGATAAGTGGGACAAATGCACTTGTACCACTTTTACATTTAAAATATCATTATTACTGTTGCGATCACAGGTGGATCACAGCTCACACATTGCGACATAAAAACACGTACGTACATTGATATCTAAATAAATTGTTGTTTATCTGAGTTTAAAGCAAATCTGTTTATTGACTTTCAAACAAAATGGATGTAGAAGGTATGTATCTACATAGTAGTAACTAAAACTGTATAAACATAAACGTATTACAAATTTTGTGAGAACGTAACCTTACTTTTAGAATTCTCTAACGTTGACGATTCAGATTTGTACCAAACCTATGTTCCTGATGACGAAAATACTAGTACTCGACATTTAGCTCAAGTAGATGATGCTACAGATAGGAAAAAAAGAAAAGGAGACGACTTTTTTTTCATTTGGAGCATTTGATGGCATTAAACAAAGTGCAAAACACTATGACGATGGACGTGATTTTCGATGGAGACCACTTAGATGGATTAGAGTCGAAAAGGCTTCTCCATTTCAAATGAAATGTAAAGAAACTCTTTCTGGGGACTTTAACTTTTATATAGTTAACTGGAAGTCCACAAAGGTTGGAAAACCACGTAGTACAATGCAACTAAAACCATTATATGATCATCCCATAAATATAAAACATTCCAAATACAAAGACTTAATGACACTGCTTGATTTTATACCAACAGTATACCATGATTTTGATAAAGAATTACCCCATGACGGTCTGCCGCCTTAGATCTCTCAAATGCAAAAAAAAGAAAAAACTGCTGCTGTACCATCTACAGCTACCGAGAATGCAGACGAAGATGAAACGGAACGAGACTATTAGTGTCAGACTACGAAAATGACGCATTATGATAGATTGACGTTTCTTGTAATGTATTTGTTATTAATATGTACGTAGTTTTTTGATAGTGTAGTATTATAAACAATTTCTAGTAGCACTTGTACCATTTTTACCGTTTCCATTATCCTATCTAAAATGGTATATGTGAGGAAATGGTTTTCCTGACAATTACCCAATAATGCTAGGTGTACTTAATTTTATTGACAATAAAGAACAGTAAAAACTACGTATGGTAACATATTTGTTTTTTATTTTCATAAATGTAATAATTTCGTATTCATCGTTATCTTCTTTACTTCATCACTCATAACAAAAATTTAGTCACATGTACCATTTTTCCACTGACTCCCTTATTTGTATTGTGTGGATTAGACGGTGTAATTTACAATTGGGAATTATATTCTGGTTGAGTTGACATAGATCTCACCCAGGCGTTAGCGGAAATGTTGTCATGATGTTATTAAAGATTGTTCTCAGAAACTACTATTTTAAAATATACTTTAATAACTGGTTCAATAAACCAAAATTACAAGTAGAATTATTATTAGGACACGGAAGCTTGGAAGAACAAAAAGCAAAAATAGATGAGGTTGAAATAACAAATCAGTGCATTTACTAAGTACTTTCGTTGGCGCTAATCCACTTACAGAGGTAAAACTTTAGGATAAAAAAGTCGTTTCTAAAATTGATGTATCATGTCCCAAAGCAGTAGAGCTTTACAATCAGTTCATGGGAGGCGTGGATTTAGTGGAGTCACTTATACCTTTATACAGAACTACCATAAAAAGCAAAAAATGGTATTATAAAATTTACTTTCATCTTATGAACTGTGACGAAGTCCCTAAATTTTATTTTTAATTAAATTTAAAAATGCATGTTTCAATTAATTCCCGCCTGAGGACATGTAGAAGATCCTAGGAATTACCGTTTTTCAACAATTGCGAGTACCCTCGTAGATTAAAATATTCCTATATTTGCCGAAATCCGAATGGGCATTTTGTAGAGTCGATTTCTTACCAATTATCTACCTTAATTTGTCAAGGTACTAGAAGGACATTTTTTTATTTTTAAATTGTAAACAGTTCGCTGTAGTAGTGGTATCCCCCACTCGGGCTTACCGAAAAGCATAAATTCGATCACATCTGGGAATTACGCCTCTTGATTTCCGGCAGGCGTAAACTCTTCTCTCCCCTGCAGTGTCGAGTGAAATAATCTGTGAGTGACCGTGATATCCAAAGAATATTGAACAACCCCGTTTATTTTCCTAAGGTAGGAAACCGCATATTATTTTTTATTTTTTTTTATAATTAGTTGGGACACCCGTGCAACAAGTAAAAATTTTTAATTCGTATCCAGGATATTTCATTTCATCCCTCAGTGGGAAACCATTGGCAAACTTTTATTTGAGGCTGGATATAGGCTAGACTCTGAGTGCTCTCATTTTCGACGACTATATCCAATCTCTCTTAGGAAGCGCCCAGTTAATATTGAAGTGAGAGGTTTAATCCGTTTTCAATTTTTTTTTATTTTATAACTTTTGGAGAAAAACCGGCCAGTTATTTTCTTTTTCGGAGATTCGATCCGTCCCCGGGTTAAGAGTGATCTCTGTCCTGACGGCGTTATCTAATTTCCCAAAAAGAAGTATAAATTAATTTTCGCGCCTCACTTCATGTAAGTTTCTTTTCTTTTATTTATTCATTAGTTGTATTTGAATCATTCCGTTTCCCTTCCACAACTAATTATTGAACGAAGCTCGACGTTTTCTGTAAAATCAATTCACACACCGTCTTGCTCGACTTTTGAGCAAATCCCATAATTTTTACGTTAACCATCGCATTCTTGTTCCAAACACCGCGCTGAAAATTATCATTCTCGTTTAACGTAATTACCAGAGCGTCGATCGGTCTGAACTAAGATACAGGGACGTTCCGAAAACTTTGATTTAATTTATTTGCTTACATTTGATTACTGTCATATTTAAATAAATTATTTTTTTTTAATAAATTTTCCGTAAACAGGGAGTTTCATAATTCCCGAACCGCTTAGCCTCCTGTGTTAACGAACCGTAAATATTTTCCAATATTTAATTAGTGATCATTTGAAATAATTTATTTTTAATAAATTTTCCGTATACAGGGAGTTTCATAATTCCCAGACCGCTTAGCCTCCTGTGCTAATGACCGGTAAATATTTCCCAATATTTAATTAGTTTTCAAGTGTAATAATTTATTTTTAATAAATTTTTCGTATACAGGGAGTTTCATAATTCCCGGACCGCTTAGCCTTCTGTGCTAGCGAACCGTAAATATTTTCCATTACTTAATTAGTTTTCATTGGTAATAATTTATTTTTAAAAAATTTTCCGAATACAGGGAGCCATTATTATTTAATTAGTTTTCCCGTGTAATTTTTCATTTTATTTAATTTTCCATTTACAGCCTTGCCAGAATCGTGCACTACCACTGTTATATTTTTTTTATAAATATATATTTTATTACCTATTCCTGTGTTTCTCTTATTGCTGGTTCTTAACCGTTCTTTTTCAGGGTACCGTAGGGTACGAGGTGTAAAGGAGATAAGTGATTTATTTTTATTTATTCTAGTATAGTGGCTACCTAGCAGTGACCGCCTGGAATTCTTTTTACCTTCACTGAGTTTACCTTGGGTACACTCTGGTGTACTCCAGGGTCGCAGAGCAAACTGTGATACCAAAACTGGCGACTCAGCCACCCCTATTCAGGAATCACCATCATAGCGCCACACAGACTCGCTGATTCACTGTAGGTGAACCAGAAGCCTGTCACAGAACTTATGCATTGTAAACTCATGGCTGCTTTATAAAAGAGATTGTAAGTCAAGCAATACTCCTAAAAAATCAGCTAAGTTTATTGCATTTTAAAACAGATTTAGCTCATAGTCTTTGTGCTGCTGGAAAAAATATATCAAACAACCGTAAAAGGGGTCGCCCGCCCAAGCATCACATCAGTTAGGCAAGAAATTCGAAATCAGAAACATAAAGGTAAAATAGTTCAAATTCCAACAGAAGGCGTCTGAACATACAAAATCGCACATTGGACCACTTTTAGTGATAAACGAGGAAGATGCAAAAATCCTGGATGTCATGGAATTCCCAAAGCGATGTGTATTAAATGCAACCATTATTTGTGCTTCGTTCCTCAATGAAATTGTTATGCTCACGTACCCCTAAATACAGAAAAGGGTAATTTTTTTGACTGTTTATACACTAGTACTTATTATTTAATAAAATCTATTTTACGCAGTAAGCTGAGCATTACTTTTTTCGTTTTCCTTACATTAAATTGGGCTGTAGAGGATTAACAATAATAATGAAACACCCGGTATAGGAAAATTCTATCATGGTGTTGCACCCTTTACCGATTTTACCGCGGAATATTAAACTTCATTCATGTAAATAGGAGACACGTAGTAGATGTAGGGCTTGCTTCTTATCTCCCTAAACAAGGTCCAACAGTCAAAATTAGGAATTCTAGCTACATGCCAACTTGGATCTGGAATCGTAAATTATATATGATCACTCCACAAATTTCTCCTGGGTTCACTAATATTTACTATTTAAATTAATGAACGACCAAATTAGTTTATAATTCAATTATTCTATTTGCGAAGTTTTCAATTTTTCTATTCTTATCAAATCTGTCTCTATAGAAGTGATACAGTTGACATATCACATAAAAAGTTTGGAAGTTTTCGAAGTTGTCCCCTAATCAATCTTCATTATTTAATGATATAAAAACAATTTTGTTTTCACATTTTTGGAGTATAAGTTATGAAGTCAACATTTTTTGAATTTAACGTATAAGGCCAATTAATAAATTTGGTTAAAATAGACAAATAGATGCCTGTGAGTGCCATTACGGAAGCCATATTAAACTTTCAATCAGACAAATTGCTAACGAAATCACAGAAGAATATGTTAATACTGGTAAATGGATATAAGTTTGTGAATCAATGATGAATAAACAAAAAGGATATGAATTTTTGTTTGGACAAAGATGTAAAACGATGTCTTTCGAAAACCAGCATCAGATTATTCTTGTATGTACTCTCAATATCAATAAAAACTTAATAATTCGACAAACCTGTAAGGATTGATTTGATTCTGTTGTGCCATCGTTCGTTCCATGAAAAGAATTAATAATGGTACCGCAAAAGCCTCAATAAAAGTGTATTTAAATATTCCTTCGAGTAGATTAAACAAGAGTATTGAAACATTTATAAAAATTGAAAACAAGAATTTAAAACTATGAAATGAATATTTTTATTATACGCCACTGTGTACTCTACTAATTAAATAGTCGAAGTATAATGATTTTTTTTAACAGAATGTCACGAGCAAAGACGGAGAGTAAAATTTGAAACCATATAGAAGATAATGAGGAAGGCTTCACAAATGATAGATAGCGGTGAAAGCATAAGAGATGCTGCTAAAGATTTAAAAATAGCGACTACCACTATAAGACGCTATTATAATAAGTTGAAAACGTCTGATAATCCTGAAACTATGAGTTTAGTTCCTAAATATAATATAAATAAGGTTTTTACTAATGCACAAGAACGAGACTTAAAACGTAGATCTCTTAGGACCTCTGTATGCTTCATATCCTTTGAAGCCTAGTATATCCCTCCTCTTGTATTTTACTATTATATTTTTTTTCGCTTTTTGATGATAAGTCTGGTCTAATCCGGGTTGACTTCAGAACCTGCTCCTGCTACTTGTCATATTGTCTGTGTCAGTCTGTCTATATCATTTTCCTGCTATAAATTGTCAAATTTGGGTACGCTTGTCACCTGTTGTACATTGTATCTGAAAACATCATGTAGTATTTTTACAATATGCATAATTGTTT